CGGGCAACTTAAGATCTCAAATTAAAGGGCAATCTCACCGTATGGGTTACTCAGGTAAGTTTAAAGTAACCCAATCCCATCTCTTTATAATATAAAGCATTGAATATAAATTACTAATATCGATACAGCTAGTAAGAACATTGTCTCGTTTTACCAGTATAAGAGTATATATTACATTAAGGTGAGACACCATTCTTAAACTATATTATTATTATACTGAAGTTCTAATGAGGTTGGTTATAAGTTTAATGTTACTATATCTCACCCATTGTACCTGAGCACCTCTGGCAATGGGATTAGTATTAAATGACCCTGTAATATACCCAGTTTAAGTAAGTTAATTTGGAAGTAGGCAGTAAGATTATTAGACCACGAAATATGAGATTTTAGCTCGTACATTTTGCTAGTCCTAATAAATCACATCTAATCCCAATAAGGAGTTGACAAGTGGCTAGCCATTATTTAGATTGTTGGGGATGTGTGGTTTACATAGGGCCAAATCCAGGAGACCAATGAATAGCCATATTCAATCAATTCCCCATAAACCAGTCTATATAAGGCGTATTGATAATACACTATAAATGATATCGTCTCTAATTTATCTCTTAGCGTCAACAATTTAGACGGGCGTGCCCTTCCGTAGTTAATTCAATATACCCTTTTGTTAATCCCACTTAATCCTTTGAGATTATTGTTATCATCTGTGATAGCTATGGATATCATGGGATAATATTTTTTTTAAAGGCGTAGCTTCCACTATAGTTGCATTCAGGGTTTCCCACATATAAGACATTTTGTTTTTAAATTTGGATTACACTGGATCATCTCCATCATTTTGAATTATAGTGTCTGCATGAAGATGTAGTAAATAGAAAAATATTCAGCATGAACTATTGATTAGATATTTCTCTTAAATATCAAAAGCATCGTATTTTTTTTTTTTTGATTTTTTTTTTTGTTGTTGTTGAAAACCATGGTAATCAGTAAGGGCAAACACCAGGCTTATATTTAACAAATTACATTCACAATTTAAATCTATTTTTGAATTTTGAAAACAAGCGTATAAGAACACAAGTAGAATTCTACTATGATTGCCTTTTCACCTCTGTAATTCCCTTCCAGATTGACTGTATTACCCAAGAAGGTCAAGTTACGACCATAAGTTATCGTGAAATTTGCCATAAAAGGGGCGGGATCAGTTCCCGTTGGCAAGCCAGTCGTTTGCTTTATTAACTGATCTGATCTAAGTTACCAGAAAATTCGAATAAGTTCATAATAAAGAAAAAAACTTGTTTATGATGTTTTTGTCTTGTAATAAAATAATGTCTAAAAATATAATCGTGTTTATCAATCATCGTCGTTCTTCACGGTGTAACTTTGGTTGTCAAGATGAATCAACTGCCAGACTCTCAAATCTAGATTTACAACGTTCAGATATTACAAATGGCCGCCATGGAGACGACAAGATGGCTGATAGAGTATTGCATATGTCAGCTGTGTTTGAGATTTAAAGAAGATATGTAAATATAATCCCGTTACATTTACAAAGCAACAAACATCTGATAAAACATCTGATATTACTGAAACGTAACCGACGCCATTGTTTTCTTTTTGAAATACCGGAAAAAGAGACTTACACCCCGGCAGCATACTTATGGCTTGTCATTTATTGTAGCCCTTAAATGATATTTTTTATAAAGCTTAAAAACATATTTTAATAATAAGCTATATAGATAACGAACTTGATACCATCATCGCACCTACGTCAAAAGTCATATTAACATGATGGATTGAATGTAATCCAGTACAACTGCATACTGCGCACATGCTGTAACAGGCCCCGCGACGTATAAATTCAGATTATAGGTCAAAAGAATACCTGATTGCGAATTTGCAGGCCATATGGAATGGGGTGTCAGCGAATTTCGGGCGCCTATTTTCATAAATCATCAATATGTTTCATGAGACAAAAAAGCTGTAAATGCCTACCTATATTATGGCCATGGAAGGCACATTACAGTTGTAAACCTGCATATACTGTGTGTGTTATTTGTACTTCAGACTGGTTCACATTAAAGTAAGATTGTTAATTTAATTTTATACGTGGTGTCTAATGCGACCAAAGACACGCCTTATGGAACCAATTTCCTTATGCGACCACAGACACTTTATAATGCAGGGACGCCCAAGTCGGATGTGTAAGCTCATGGTGAAACGGGACACATTCATGACGAAACCTATAGTCTTTTGCGACCACAAACACTCATGATGAAACCTGATGTCTGTTGCGACCATAGACACTCATGATGAAACCGATTTCCTATTGCAACAACGGACACTCGTGTCTATTGCGACCACAATCACTCCTGATGAAAGCTATTGTCTAGTATGACCAAGGCTAAAATTGTTTGTTGAATGAGAATATAAGAGGTAATGTTTTCCAGAACAACAACAACTTGTTTATTTAGATGATCAACAGATTTCTTAATAATCTCCACCCACGTGCTCTCTCTCTATATATAACAGTAAACTTATATATCTACATTGTAAACAACACGTGCCTACGGGAAACATTTTACGCAAAATTCAAACTCCCTCAGATACAATATATTATCTCATCTGGTCAAACGGAAGATATTTTTCTGAAAATGTAAGAATCATTTTGTATCCTTCCGCTACACCTGTGTAACCGGAACCAGTTGTATGATAAAATATGCCGACCACATGAAGTAACATCAGCAGGCATCTGTGGAACCGGAATAGGTTTGTCCAACTGAGAAGGCCAGACTGACCCAATGACATGCCTCAGATACACGAAGTGATCATTATATTTACAATATGTAGAGCAGACTGTGGTCTAGATTGTACTATTTTTCGTCTGTGATTTGAAATGTTCGTAGTAAAATTAGAGAAAAATTTGTAGGATACGTTACCAAATTAGTTCTCAGTTACGCTGTCTGGATCATTTTGGTATTCGATTTATTTGACATATTTCAATTTAATAAAATTGGTAAAAAAGGGGAATTAAAAAATTCTTGTAACTTTCTAGGCTCGAGATTTTCGTGCACTAAACAGGGCATGCTTACTCTTTCATTCCCCCTCATATCACCTATCATTTATTAGGAAGTTAAAATAGCCCACAGATTAAATTTTTCTGGTGAATCTCCTGCTGCTGGACACAAGCGGTATCTCTCAACCACATATCTTTGGCTTCTGAAATCCAAGTCCAGACTGTTTCTACTGTAAGTTATAGTTTGTGACGGGTGGTGTACACGAGGACAAAAATATTTACTCTTTCTAGAACATCCGATACCAGTTCTCAGGAAGTGATCTTGGTTAAAGGGGCATTATGTAAGATTAGATAAAGAGCTGGCAGTTCTCGCTATTATAGATAAAAAAAATAGATAATGAAAACAGAATATGCAGAAAATTGCAGTCAAATTGCTTCACTCTGAACCGAGATATTAGAAATTCAATTTTAGACTAGCTTAGATCGTCATTATTACCGTTGATGCGATAATAAACAAAGTCTCGATTATCTTTTTTTACGTTAGATCATCCATAAAAAAACGTATTCACTAAATCCACTAAATATCGCAGGCTAACGATGGCATCGAGGGTCGATTATGTTCTTGATAAGTTAATTAATGTCTAATTAAAAATTTAGATAACATTTAAGTCCTAAATACAGCATCAAAATTATTGATTGGAAAATACGCGTTGCAAATAGTATTCCATATAAAATGCCCTACAAGAATTATTACATTTAGGTTCCCTATTCTATATCAAAACCTCAAAATGAATGATAATCTATCCAAAATTTAGAAACAAGTCTTTTTGGTAACATTTACCAAAACTTGACAACGGAAGCCATGATGTCTATATTTTGACAGTTTTATATTCATCAATTTTTAGAACGCTCCATATGAATAATGTTGATATTAAAAAAATGAGTGTTCTTGTAAATGAAGGTCAGTGGTCTATAATATTAGGACGGTGGAGTATTTTATTACTGAACGGAATACGGCATAATTGTGTGTATGGTGATGTAAATGAAACCTTTACATATCGATATAATGTTCCGCTAATCGTTGTCAGTTTAACGATTATTCGCATAGCCCGTTTAAAGATATGAAGGGTCATTTTCACGATTGAAAAATAAAATGGCTGACCCCAACCGTGTGGTAGCAAGGACGCGGAAATCTCACACTACAGGAAACAGGAAAGCAGCTCGAAAATCTAAACTTGACTACTGTACTACATAAGGAAAGCAATAGAGAGTTGCCCCCAACTTTTATTGTTTTGTCTTTAGGTATAACCGCGATTGGGCAAGAAAGTGATCAAATTGAAATTTTCATTTATATGTGGGTGTACGATTTAAAGGGGTGTTGACAGTGAAATAGTGTATTGTAAGTAATAGAGTTTATTTTGTACTTTTGTATCCAAGGACTACTATTCTGAGCTGAAAAATAATAAGTTCAGTCTTGTTGGTGTCGAGACTTTTTCGCAACAAGATGGTGTCACTTTACCTTGCCTTTAAACAGATGGACATGCTCAAAAAGGGTAAAGTGTCAATTAATTTCAAACTAAATGAAAAATAAATTATTTCACCAGACCAACTCTCAGAAAAAAGTATTGTAAATGTTTGTTTATTTTCTGTAGATGAATAAATATGTTTACAATATCTAGTTTACATCATTTAGCTCGAGTAAATAGGCTATATACCACGCTGTATCTAATATATAACCATATATAACCACATATATCACAGTCTTAATGGCTTGTTTTTCTTACCATATGTTTAACAGGGTTCATGTTTTCAACGTACGACAAAGCCATAAATATACATTATCGCTTCCACCATCTCAACATATGTTTTACTTATATAGAAATGTTTATTTCTTTACTGTCTGTAAAATTTGACAGCAATATATTTATATTTTTATTCGCCCATGTCACTGGTAAAATAAATTTAATGTTTATTTTTATTTGTGTTTCAGATAAAGCGTTAAACCCGTGTTGTATCTCAACCAGGGAAAGAAGGATGTGTTCCTTATTTACATGGTGGCAACTGTAAGGAACTAGAACAGGGGTGTCAAACTCATTTCGATTCAGGGGCCCAATGAAATAACATTTTACATCAAGTGGGTCTGAGATATGCAAAAATGTCAAGATGAAGAAAATTTTATGGATTTATTTAACTAAAATCGTTATATATTATAATGCAATTCAATACTTTGAAATGGACCAAATTGGCCAACTTAGATATCTATGACATACAGTACAGAAGTCAGAGTCTTGCTAAAACTGGAAAACAATAATAAATGATTTCCACCGCTAGTTTCTAGAAATTATCGACACATCAGTTTGTTGAAATTTGTTCTACGGATCACATTTAAACCTTTGGCGGGTCGGATATGGCCCGCATGTTTGACACCCATGAACTAGACGAATGTGTACACAGACCACTCTCGGTAAATGTCAAATAAATATTCTGTTCTAATATTAAACTGTACGCGGAAAGTAGTTTTTAAATATACATATATACTCTAATATATTAATCTTGTAATCAGGGTTAGATTAAGCTTACATTGGGCCCATGGCTGGAAAGGTCACTCGGGCCATTGCATCAAGAGTGAAATGAAATGAAATGGGGTTTAACGTCTTATTGTTCTGCCCCGACCGAGCTAATGAAAACGGGCATACGACCTACTCTTATATAGTTTTCCAACTAAATATTCTGTTCTAATATTAAACTGTACGCGGAAAGTAGTTTTTAAATATACATATATACTCTAATATATTAATCTTGTAATCAGGGTTAGATTAAGCTTACATTGGGCCCATGGCTGGAAAGGTCACTCGGGCCATTGCATCAAGAGTGAAATGAAATGAAATGGGGTTTAACGTCTTATTGTTCTGCCCCGACCGAGCTAATGAAAACGGGCATACGACCTACTCTTATATAGTTTTCCAACTGCCAGAGGATATTTTACGTGGACGCCAATGTGTACACGGGACCTCGGTTTTTCGTCTCATCCGAACGACTATACGTTGTTCCTTGTCAGGCTCTCTGGCCTGCACCACTGATAAGAGGAACTACGTTGAAAGATCCCGATGAACATTATCGGCCAACACCGGGATCGAACACGGGACCTCCAGGTTAGCCATACAATGTCATACTCATCGAGTCGCGAGGCTTCCGGAATCAACAGTGAACAGAGGGCACAGTCCGTCACACCCACACGAATTACAATTTACTTGCCAAATTTTCCCATTGTTAAACCCTGTCGTAACATTTGGTACAGAAATTTCTTTAGAACTAATGTGGGGCCGTTTTAATATTGGGGCCCCTGGCTGAAGCCTAGTCAGCACCCCACCTCACCCCCTTAGTCCCACATGCAATTTACGTTAACAACTACGAATTATTAATTAATCAAGGTGGACGAAGTTCGTGGGAAATGGTGATTTGTATATTTAATCATTTCAATTAAATAATCCCCTCCTGTAGCCACTGGAGCCATGGTAGAATTCACTGAGTCCTCCCAGACACCATCTCAGTTATACCCACAACCCATGATCGGTCAAGATCCAGCCAGATAAGCACTATCTAGCGTTGATAGTTACTGGAAGCAACCATTTTATGTTATTATCCCCATTTATGACTGTATCAACGAACGCCTGATTTCCATAATGGTCTATTGACCACGTGTTAAGTAATAATTGCTATAGAAACAAGGGTGTATTGATAGCAGTGGACTTGTGAGTAGGTCTGATCCCCGCAAGAAAGGTCAAGGGATTCTGGCAGTGTCCAGTAAACTGTTTGAAAGAAAACAATTGTATACTACACGATAGAATGTAATCCATAACCGGATCAATGGACGCTAAGAGGGGGGGAAAGGGGAATCCAGAAATCCGTGTGGACTCTGGTGAGGTGCTTTATGCAGTTTTACTCTAATTATAAAGATACAACCATCGATATAAATGATATTGTTAGTCTCTCAAATATTATGTTTGTATAACCTGTCCAGTGCACAACATCCATCATTATTATTTATAGGCAACTGAAGCGACAGTTTAGACACGGATTTGACAATTCGAAGTTACGAACCTATCTGGTAGACCAAATGTGTGGCCTTGATGCAAATATGTCTGGTTTACCACATCATTATGCAACCAGTTTATTTTTTACGTTTACTATAAGAGGATATAAAGGTGTTAACAATAACACTAAAATCACATTGTTACACGCTTTAACATATTCCAGTCTATTTATTTCTCCCTTTACATGTAAATATCACAAAACTTCTAAAAACATACAAACGGGAAACGTTGGTTGGAAAAAATCGTAAGAAAAACATCCATGTTAACAATCTAATTCTTCCTTTTGATGCTGGAACGATACAAATAATAAAGACGGGACAGGAAAATCTACAACCCAACACAAGAAAAAAAAATATCTCTCAATAGTTACTCTTGTACACATGTGTTCCTCTACCAAGAACTGGTGACATTGAAACAAAAGTGATTGCTTACGTAATGAATTCCAGCTGGTGACGAAAGAGAATTTGTTGTCAATTATTGTCTACGTAACGTGAAATGTTTTCCGGGGACATGTTGTACACATCTGTCTCAAAACACGACTCCCCCTTCTTTGAAGAACGAAAAAATCATATGTCGTTGGAAATGTGCAACTTGTTTAATTTTTAGTCAAACGTTATCCAAAACGTTTCTAACGGTAATTAAGAGTCAAAAGACATATGGATTTCGGTAGTAGCCTTTGTTACGTTTTCGTTGACATTTTCACCGTTGTTTTAATCCAAATATGGTGCCTATTACGTCTGTAAGATTTCAGTTCCACATGTTTTAGTAGACAGTCTTTCACAATCTAAGATAGGTCGTCAGTATGAAGCAACACGCGTCATCCGTCAAAAACCGTTTGTCATTTTGAAATTTAAATTACATATCTACATTAAACAACGACAAATACCACTCGTGATGCGCCGTAGGCTAATTAAAACTATATATTATTTTCTACACGGTTATTCAGCCGGCAATCTATGAATTGGTGTAAAACAGCTATAAAATAAAACGGAACGAATTGTTACAATTTTTTAATTAGGCTATACTAGCAGCATCGCCATATATATCCGACAGTCTTGATATTCATGGATTGAGTAGGGTTTATGAACCGGGTTCGGAGAGGGGGGGGTGACGGGTGGTCTATTGGGAGGTGAAGTCCCACCCCCTCAAAAAGATATTAACAGACAGCATGATTATGTCCATTGTGTTAATCAGGTCAAGTGTTGGGTATGTCCATATATAGTAATAAACAAATTGATTTCAAAGTTGGAATGAGAGCCACAATACGTCTCACTATTAATCCTTCAGGATAAATCCGACCAAAAGTTCAAAAGATAAGTCATTTAGTTCACTTCTCCTCATTTCTGCCCGGTTCAGTTACTTCGAGCAGAAATAAAGTTCGTGGCATAAATCCGATATGTATAGGACTTGTAAATCTTAGATTGTATCCGTATAGGCCAAAAAATCCGTATCCTATGGGATAAATTTCAATGTTAACCTGAAAGGAGTTTTCCTAACAGTCCTACAGATCTAAAACTTCGAGATGAACGCAGTCCAAAGCATACCCTGTCACAACTGCCAACATCTGAGATATTATGACGAAATGTTTTGGATTTTTTTTTTTTATTAGATTTATAACAAATTTTGAAAATGACATGCGAAAGCCATTAGTGTGAGTGAAATGTGTTTAAAGTATGATGAGATATGTTGGTTGACTTGTAAGTTGATGGATTATCGAATACGTTTAGGACAATATAGATAACATTTTGACATCTCTAAGATAAAACATTGACTAGGAAATAAATAAATCGGTAACAGGTTGGCCGCATTCCTGTCTACAGGGGCAACATTCGGGAGTATGAGAGCAAATTAATCCCATCAGAATTTTTCAACTCCCACGAGGTATAAACTGTTCAAAAACAAACCATTTATTCTCGAACATTAATTGAGTAAATATCCCAATTCACAGCCTTATTTGAGGCTAATTTTGTTAGGGCTAACCTTGTTGAATGTTTCCGCCTGCATTTCTTGCACTTTAGACTTTAATAAAAACACAACAAACGAAAATTAAAAATTCAAATTGATCGATATTGTTAATTTTATTATTACTATTATTTGGATATATTTGTAGTATCTAAATAATAACGTAACCATAATTAAATGCAGTCAATTGAGACTCTCATTTATGCAATCGACATGACAGACACATGAGCTAATTTAGTAATCATTTAATCCCCGCAAAAAGCCTTTTCTCATTGCATTAAAATATACACCCCTAAGAAGGGTTTCTGAAGTTTGGTAGTCAATATAAAACATTTAGCTTTAAATCAAGGCAACTTTCACCGTTATCAAAAGGAGCAGGGGGTCAAGCATGTTGACATAACTAACTGGAGATTAAGTAATACGAGATATGTAATTATGTATTTATATCTCTGATCGCCAATTGCTCTTGACCTCGTAGAATTTACTTTTACATCTATTCAATATGAATACTCTAAGAGCATTTTATCTTTGACACATGGTTTGCCTGGGTATTAAATAAACTACACAGAATGACATCAAGATTGCCATACAATGAAGACTTGATTTAACACTTTCAGCTGTTACACGTGTAATTGTGTGGTGAACGTATCACCTATTAAATCCTTTAAATTCTGCAGTGACAGGCTTGTGGTTGACTTCTACTAAGCGATAGGGGGAAATGTATGACTTTTCATAAGATTTACTCATTTTCGTGATTGACAATGTGTGCAACAAGGGGGGATACTCATGCCAGTCTGTTCATGCAAATATATTAAAAGTTTGAAGAAAAAACACCAAAACATTGAGGAGGGCTTAAAAGCTGTCTTAATTATTTTCGACATTACATAATAATATTAATACATTAGTATAGGACATATTTGTAATGCACTAAGTAGTACAAGGGTCAGTAATATAGTGGCAAACACATACCATGAGCATAAGGAAGCACATGTACAGTTTAACGTCATAATACACAATCTAAAAGTGATGTGTAAATTCACATCAGGAAGTGACGCAATGATAATATCTAACGATATGACCTTGCATAATATCGTATACATTATTTATATTATGTCCCTTCTGGTTTATACTTTATTTTTTTAAGCTAACCTGAACATAAAAATTAAATATGTTTGGGTGTCTCTGTTAGTGACTTCGTCATCAAGACATAACCAGGGGTTTCCTCCGGATCCTCCTGTTTCCTCCCACTGCTAAAGACCCCTAGGCGCAAGCGAATTATTGAATTAAAATTGAACCATGTGTTAGTCCCGAAATGACCTAGTTTGTGTCGAGTGGACGTTAAACCCCATTTCTCCCTCTCTCATAACCAGGGGAATCTGGAAGATAAGATAAGTGGTTGGAAGGGCTGGATTAACTATTAAGAAATATAAGCATGTGCTTAGGGCATCGTGGGAAGTGGGGGGGGGGCTGCTACAGAATTTCTGCTTTT